TATGTTTATTATTAAATAATTGTCAAAACATTTTACACACACATTAAAAATAATAATACATATTTAAACACAGCACATTATGTGTATATTCAGCATTATAATTATTGAATGTCTAAATGTTTAACCCTATAAGTGCAGTAAGGGTGCAGCCAAGCTTTCACATGTTCAATCAATCCCTCCAAGGTTTAAATAAACAGTATTAGACTGGCATTGGTAAAACTTACTTAATGGTTCACTTTTGGATCATGGCCAGCAAATAATATAAAGGTCTTGGGGGTCTATTTACTAAACAGTGAACTGCAGTGAACTTGGGGGAGAAGGGAGGGGAGAACTGTACAATTTTAAAAAAATGTAGGAGAATTTTTCTGGTGTAAAATGAGTTTTGCAATACTGGTGAAATTTTCAAAATCAGCACTTCTAGTGTAAAATAAATTTTGCAATACCGTTTTCAGTTAACTTAGTGTTTAGTGAATACGTCTTCTTGTGATAAGAGACATGCTATGCAGATATGCTATAATATCCAATCTATTTAAATTCATACAGCAGATCACATGATACAAACCAGCATTTGTTACAGACTTGCCACTAGACATTGTGTATCCCCCAAAACACTCTGCCAGTCTTATTATCTTGTTTTTAATCCTTATGACACTTTTTTAGACAATCACAGTGTTTGACCCTAGCTTGTGTATTATCTTCCCAAATGTATCACATGAGTTTTTCTGTAAGATGGCGTCCAGCGAGAATTTATATTAAAAGATGTGGTTTTGCAGATTTAATTAAAAATAAAAAAAAAGGCTATCTCACATAGTAGGACCACATAAAACTAATAACATAGACATCGGTCTCCATGTAAATGACAGGGAGATTTAAATTAAAATCAGATAAGTAAAAATTTGAATTTTTTATTTTTTTTTATTCGGTTTGAGTATCTATGGTAATGAAAAGTTTTGTAATATTATGTAACCTTTTTGAATTAAGCCTTTGGAACGCTCGAAATTACATACTGATTTTTTATATATTTTTTTCTCTAATTCTCTCATATTGTGTTAGCAAACCCAGATATGTAGCCAGTGATATTACAAGAATCTGCATTAAAATATCCAGTGAAAATTTTCTTATTGTCTCTACCAGTGTTGGCTAAGCTCACCACTGTGGATATTCGAGGCCGAATGAGCATTATTGGAAATTAAGTTCAAACATATCTGGAATGGCAAATGTAAAGATAAACCATTATGGGTTTAAACAGTTCTGTACATTGAGCCTCAGTACACAGGATATGCTTTATATGACTATATAGTGTCCCTGTATAAGTGATATATATTTTTAATAATAAACATTATACTAAATCTGACTATTTAAATGTAGTCATATTCTGCAGCACTTGGTCATATACTAAACAAATTAATAAACTATGTGAATAGACCCCTGGATATGTAACAACTTATATATTATCAGGAGGCGCTGAATGTGATGTTGAGAGCTCTGTATGACACATGATAATGAAAGGTATCTACATATCTGGTCTCTTTCTCTGTGACAATTTAGCCCTGGCGAGTAGAAATTCACCCCGGAGGGTCTGCGAAGGCTTTCAGTGGCAAGTACCTTTTAAGGCCTGGCTAACAGAACAAGACTTCAGATTCTAAGCCTTATATACAAACTGTATCAGTATGTGCCATTGTTCCGTAAACAGAGGCCTAGATAGAAAATCATGTAACTAGTGATTGCTCATTTATTAGTTAAATCCTGCTCTTTCAAGATATGCAGACACACGTAACCTGCAGGGAGTATTAGCAGCTACTCATACTCAGCATGACCAAATACTCACACTCTGCATAATCAATAACTAACATTCTGGATAAACATGTACTGACACATTGCTCCACTATCCATTCACAGCCTGCATAACCATTCACTGACATTCTGCATAACCTAACCAGTTACAATTTACATAACTACCCACTCACACTCTGCATAACCAACCAATCACAGCCTGCATAACCATTCACTGACATTCTGCATAACCTAATCAGTTACAATTTACATAACTACCCACTCACACTCTGCATAACCAACCAATCACAGCCTGCATAACCATTGACTGACACTCTGCATAACCAACCAGTTGCAATTTACATAACTACCCACTCACACTCTGCATATCCAACCAATCACATCCTGCATAACCATTGACTGACACTCTGCATAACCAACCAGTTACAATTTACATAACTACCCACTCACACACTGCATATCCAACCAATCACAACCACCCACTCGTTGAACCACTAACACTCAGCTTCATCATCTAATTACACTTTAAATAACCATCCACTAGTACTCTGAATAACAATCCACTCACATGCTGCATAACACTCCACTCATTATCTGCATGCTTACCAGCCCACATTCTAAAAAACTACCCATAAATACTCTGCAAAAAGAGCCACTCAAACACTATCATAACAATTCCTCAATTTCTGCATAAATAAACACTATATGACACACACACACTAGATAAACACACAAAACACACTACATAAAATATGGAGGTACTATAAATTCTACTACTAAATACCAACACTTCCTCTAAAATCCCAATAAACAATATAACATTTCCTCTAAAAAAAAATAAACAAAATAACACTTCCTCTAAAATACCAATAAACAAAACAAAATAATATCAATGTCTATATATCTATCTATAACAAGGGTTGGCAACCTTCGGCACTACAGATGTAATGGACTACCTCTCTTACAATGGTAGTACAGCCATAATGCTGGCAAAACATCTGGGGAGATGTAGTCCACAACATCTGGAGTGCCGATGGTTGCCTACTCCTGTTCTATAGAAGCATACCTCCCAAGTGTCCCTATTTACAGGGCCCGAATCCCTTTGTCCCTCTCTTGTATCCTAATTTCCTCTAGCATCTCCATATTGTTGGTGTGTCTGAGTTTATAACAGAGCTCCACAGCAATAATACATCCAGTAATGTGTATTTAAACTTAAATAAATGGAGTATGTGTAAATAAAATGCATTGTTCTTGTTCTAAATCACATTTTAGTTGCATAAATTGTTATTAGTAAGTCACGTAAAATTTCTCTGAACCGCCCGGCATCTAGTCACCCCCCCACTCAAATCACCAACATTAAAGTGTACCTTTTTTCCATTTGAAATGTTGAGTATGTAGTAGTGAACTCACTCGCAGTTACTCACGTTCTGTGCATGTGTGTGCTCACAGTTTATGAACCTTATTCACATAATGCTTCATACTGACATAGGATCTAGAAAATCAATTAGTTATTTCCACATATTTTGAGAAAATAGTTTAGGGAAATTTGAACTCATATATTTCAAGATAATTACGTACATTTATCAACCACCACCCTGTGCAACACCACCTGAATTTACTCACATTAGCCCAATTGTAAATCCTACCTGAATTCAATTCAAATCCCTTTGCCTTTCCTCTGCATTTCCTCCAAATTCCCTCAGTAAACCTCCACTGAAATATTGCGGAATTAGCCCTGAAATTGCTCCTACATGTACTCAGAACCATGCCGTAAACAATAATTTGGCATTCATATGACGTATGACATTTTCATATGATCTTTTCAAGCAACCAATTAGCATATAATGACCTGGAATGTCTGGCATAAAGTTAATTACTTAAGCATTCCCTTTGGTGGATATATTAAGTTCTCTAGTGTTAGCTCTTCCAATGATGTGATGTAGATGGGTTATATTAGAATTTGCAATCTTTTTATATGGATTGTTCACAGACAGTGACAAATAAAGCTAGATTAAAAAAAATACAAATTGAGGCCTAAACTTTCAATTATGTCTGCAATAAAAAAGTGATAAAAAAATAAATGAAACAAAATTGAATGTGCTTCCAAATGTGCAAATTCAGGGGAAATTTAGGGTCACTTATTATTTAGTACATGCCTGAATTTCTTTAATTTCTTGTTATTTAGTACATGCCTGAATTCATATTTATTTGGGGCTAACTTTTCAGCAGACACTGATTATTGTGAATAATAGCATTTAGGGAACATTTTAGAATTTTCCTCTGAATTACATATTGTGAATTCCTTCAAGTTTCATGCATTTTCAGAGGAATATGCAAAGCTTAGTGGATAACCCTGATAATGTCACGTGCACTCTTACGTTACGTATTATCTTTTGAGCTGACGACTTCTTCACAGCTTCGTTTATCTACGTTCATTGCTGCATGTGAAAGGACCATTGAAAAGGGATCTTTATTAGTGAGCAGGCCTCAAGTTGGGAGACCCAACGTTTAATAAACAACCAAGCCATATAAATTCTCTTTCAAAAATCAGTTCTGTATTATTTTTCTTTCTTTGCCTTTTTTTTATACTGAACCATGATTAACTGAGAAGAAGAGGAAAGAAGGAGAAATGAGTTTTAATCATTATTTTTTTCCCCCTCACATATTCATGTCAATTTGCCTAGTGAAGGGCCCAATTCAGAGAAAAATAGAAATAAAATTAAACAAAAAAAAAAAAAACGAGGAGGTCTATTTAGAATAAATATACACTTTGAAACAGTTAAAGAGGAAATTTATAGATACACCCACAGACTTCTGATAATGGCAATTATTTTCATTAATATTCAAAAGCCAAGCAGAACAATAAAAATGGTTGCCATGCTTCATCCCAGGCATTTGTAATTATTAGAAATTTTAAGAATGAGTCAAGAAGACAAACATCTAAGATATGCTTATATCTGTATTTAGGTAAAACAGATATGTTAAAATATATAAGATCGTGTATTTATAAAATAAACAGCGATAATAAAATCAAATAAAGTTCATCCGGATTTTTTTGGAAATATAGAATAAAAACAGTCTCACTGATATGCAGTACCACGATATTAATCCTCAAGTATGGCTCCGTCCGTGTGGTAGGTAGTCCATATATGTGAAGATAAAAAACAAAAGAGAAAGCTGCCTATGGTGAAATATTGTATGTCCTGATGTGGTATATAATCAAAGGAAATATATTTCACTCACATTTGGTGGAGCTTATTGCCAAATGTGAGTGAAATATATTTCCTTTGATTATATACCACATCAGGACATACAATATTTCACCATAGGCAGCTTTCTCTTTTGTTTTTTATCTTCACATATATGGACTACCTACCACACGGACGGAGCCATACTTGAGGATTAATATCGTGGTACTGCATATCAGTGAGACTGTTTTTATTCTATATTTCCAAAAAAATCCGGATGAACTTTATTTGATTTTATTATCGCTGTTTATTTTATAAATACACGATCTTATATATTTTAACATATCTGTTTTACCTAAGCGCAGCCCTTGACCCCCTCTTTTCTCGCATTTCTTACATAAGGGTTCCGTGAGGGATTTCCCTTTTAGGGTTGCTGCTCAATTGAACTAGCGCAGACTCTTCCTCTGTTTTGTTATATCTGTATTTGCTTGTGGGGATTGCCAGATATAATGTCCCTTGTACATTTACTTAAATCATTTATTAAATTATTGCTTGGATGATTACTTTGTATAGCATATGTCTGATCGGTATATGTGTTGTTATTAAGAATGAAAACGTTCACTCAAACGCCTCAATAAAATAAAGAATTTAAAAAAATAAAAAATAAATGAATTAAAACTTGTTTTTATGTGTTTTTTTAGAGGGCTTTTTAGGGTCAGGCTATAGATTACAGAGTGCTTAGACAATGTGTGTTTTTTTTCCTTTATATACCGGTATATATCATTTTGGTCCAATATAAAAAAAGTGTTATACTATGCAACAGGGCCATCCTATTGTCAAGCAATTCTTACAGAATACAGAGGGAAGTCCAATTAACTTGTAATGATGGACAGTTAACACGGAAGATAGAGGGTCCTTCAGCAACTAATTTTTCTTGGTAATACGTAGTATGTGCAGTTTTATTATACCCATTGTATAGTATTATCAAATATCTTTATACTCCTTCGTAAATCATAACTCTTTGTATATGATTAATCATTTTGTTGCTGTTTCTGTTGTAAAAAAAAATAAAAAAAAATTATGGATATGATTTTTTTTTTTTAAATGACAGCTAATTGGATGCATTTCTAAGCAGATTGTATTAAATATATTTCGTTCTTTCTCCATGTTAAACATATATCCTATTCTTATTTTATCCATGAGGGTGTTGGTTTCTAATGTAATTAATTTAAAATTTTAACAGCTAAAGCATTGTAAGATCTATAGAAAGACAGAATCACTAAATTTAAAACATTTATTTTGTATGTTAATAATGCTGATAAGAACAACATTTTTGCCCTTCTGTATACTTAACAACAAGAAATGTAAACATTGAAGATGCATCAATGACATAGTGCAAAGTTACAAAATACAAAAATTATTTTTTTGGTAATAACCTGGATAATGGCAATGCAAAACAATTTTCATTTAGACATTGCTTTCCAATGTTTTGACCGAATTAACTATGAGTTTATGCCAGGAGTATTTCTGAAAAGGAAGAAGAATTATCACATGATGACTTGGTTTTCATGTTATTTGTTTTATTAAAAAATATATTTGTTTCTTTTGTAGTCTTGCTGTTCGGATTATTATAATTTTTTTAACCACCTTGATGACTTTTGTTTTTGTACATCATTGCTACAAAGCTGCTAACTAAAAAGGAGGTGGAGCAATCCACATATATTTATTGCTCAGGCACAATACATAGCGAACGTTATTTAATATTAAGTATTAGTTATACTATTAACAAAGTCAGACCCAAGAAATATTATAATAAATGTCTGCAGATAATGACTAGAGTGCTCCATTTGTTGTTAAACACTGCAAAACCGTAGAACAAATACACTGAAATATGACTTGTCTGAGTTTATGATGGGGGAAAGGGTAGAATCTTAAAATATCTCCCCAGAAGGATACATTTTATAGCTGTGAAAATGAGCTCTTATTAGAACACCAAAGTGCTAAAATGATTCACTCTGTAATAGAAACATCCTGTTTTTGTATAAATAGACTTGCCCTGGCTTCCATACAGTATATTACATGCCATAGACAATCACCAGAATAAAAGATTAGTATTCATATTGTCAAGTCTTTGTACATAAGGTTAAGGGTGATACTAAATTATTTTGTATTGATCTGCAACTATCTACCAGGATCCATGATTCAGATCATTTTCTGTTTATCTGTAATGTGATCCAAGTTAACACAGATCAATGCCCTTGAACGGGAGATCACCTATAGTGAGGAAGATTATAGAACAATAAAATGAAAGATTGGAGTCAATGTTTTTACCCACTTACACTTTGTAGGTTCCACAAGTGTCAAACTCCCGTCTTTGCATGCACAACGATTCCAGCTTTTCACACTATTCTATGTCACATTTATTGCAGATATATTTCATATTTATTTTTATTCTACGTGGTTTGTTGATTTGTCTGTACCTGGCACACTGACTTTGTGAACTGTATTACCATTGAAATACTCTAGTTAGCTATACTTAAATTACCAGTATTATATGAATACAAATTGTAATAACTGTTATAAATAAAAACTTTCATCTCTGGTAGGATGGTGGACCAATGTATACGTGACATACAAAACAATCAAATGTCCAGGATTTGTAGCATCCAACACCTACAGTAAACATTTTTGAATGAATTGATAAAAATCTTTTAACATTATATTACTTAATACGTAACAGATTTGCAACCACAATTAAACAGAGCCCTGAATTGACGACTCTGATTTTGCCCCTGCCTTGAAAAGGTTTGTGAATCAGCATGGTTATCCTATAGGAAAAACACAGATTTCTATATAAAACCAGGTGGACAGATAAGCAATTCATTGACACAATTCATGAGCTACGTGAAAAAAAAATATTTAAGTTGTGGTGTAAACAGGGTCCAATTGACTCTGCAAACTGCATATTGTTATCACCTTTCTGATCTTTTATTAATGATAGAAGACAAGGCTTGCTTAAAGATGAGGAGTTAGTTCTGATTAGTGTTGTTCGTTCGCCATGCCCACCTGTTTCACAAATTGTCTCTGGATGCCTTATGCTGTTGGTGCAGCAGTGATAATGGCAAGCGGGCACCAGGGTTTAGTGACTGCTTATGACAGGGGTAGGCAACCATTGGTACTCAAGATGTTGCTAACAACATCTCTCCTTGTGCTTTGCCTGCATTATGGCTGTACAAACATTATGAGAGATGTTGTCCAAAACATCTGGAGGGCTGAAGGTTGCCTTCTCTTGGCCTACAACATTTACCACACTAGCGCAGGTAAAACACGGTGCATTGCACATTTTACACCATGCAGTTGAGTTGATTCTGGAATGGTGGTTGGACCAACATCATTGAGTCAGTGCTGTCTGTAGAATCCAGTCCTCAGATGAGCTAATCCAATCTGGAACATCCAGTAAGTGACAGTTCTGTGGACAAAAATGCTTTATTAAAGAGACAGATCAGCGGAGACAGGGCTAGACAGGTCAAAGCTGTCAGGGTGACAGCAGCAACTGAGATAACCAGACATTACAATGTTACTTTGCAGAAAAGTAATTCTAAACACTTAACATCAATGTTGAATGTGGACGTGACTGCAGTTGCAGATCAGGACACTGAGGATCGGGTGGGCACAGGTTCACCAAAACTATACAGTAAAAGATTGGAAACATATTGACCTGTCTGACCAATCTATAATCTACTGTTGGTTGGAATCAAAATTTGGTAGAATCAGAATTTGGCATAATTAGCATGAATAATTTGAACTATCCCAGCTAATGTAACCAGCTTAGACTAGTGGTGGTGACGGAATAATGGTACGAGGAATATTTTATTGGCACACACTGCCAATATTGCCTACGTGAATATTGTGCTTCTCTCTCAAGCCGCAGTCTACATCTTCTATAGGTTACTTCATGTCACAAGGTATATATCATCTAAGCTGGTTCAGAAAACAATACAATGAGTTAAATTTACTACAGTGTCCTTCACAGCCATCAGATCTCAGTCCAGAAGACCTCTTTTGGGATTTGGTGGGTCGGGAGATTCACAGCATCAATGTGCAGGTGACAAATCGGCAGCAAGTGAATTATATTGTTATTAACAGTGGATAAACAAAGGTCCTGAAAATTAAGTATAGTATTTAATGTCACCATGAAAGCCCGGAGCAACAACTTAATGTATTTACAAAAAAGCATGTTTGATCCTAATTTTAGTTAGTGGTTATGGTTAGACATTAAAGTGAAGAGATATTTGTGGATAGGTTAGGAGGATTAGGGAGGCGGGTTACAGCTCAGGATTGTGAATCAACTGTAATCAAAACAAAGCATTTTATTTCCAACACTGAGTTAAACTGCTGCTGTTACATTTTGCAATTTTACCATTTTCTGTTGTTGTTTAGTTTCCATATTTATTGTGTTCTCTGGAAATCTTCGGATTATAGCAAGAGACAACTGTACAATGCTAGTTCCATTACAAAATGAGAAGTTGATGAAGCACACTAAAGGCATCGGAGCTTATTTATAAAGGTTACAATGTGTTTCGGGAGATCGCTGCACTCTGTACAATCAAAATTCTGATCCTCACAAGTTAAAAAGTATACTTTAATCGCATAAAAATAAATGGCTCATATTATTGGATGGTGGCAGGCAGATGGTATGCCATGGGGAACAACAACAAAGGAAACACAAAGGGCCCCAAAAGTGCCCAATCTGGTAAAACTAGACTTATTTATAAAAATGCAGCTTTGGGACCAAGATGTAAAAGTAAACCAGTCAGCAAGGAAATAGTTATAATGTTTTGTATATTTACAAACTACAATCGCTCCTTATTAGTATTTCCCAATATTTTTATTAGGTAATCCTCACAACGTTCATCAGGAGAATGTCCAGAATATATATACAAAAATCCATCACACTTCCTGCTGGAGACTGGGGGCTATCTAAAGACCCTGTTAAAGGTGGTGATAGATGCTACTTCACAAAGAAAATACTTTTGGGTATGTTTTGAAACCACAAGATTATGATGGGAATCAAATTTAAACAACTCAACAATCTTATCTACAAAAAC